ACACACACACACACACACACACACACACACACTTGATTTTACAGAGAACATTTGCTTAAAATAATACTGCCTTTCTGACTCTATTTTCCCAAACCTTTTATTTTCTTTCCTTTCTCTGTTTAATGCTCTCTTTTAAATTCTATGGCCCATATATTCAGCAACAGAATATAAATCATGCCGCTATAATCATTTCAGCTTTGTCGCTCCATACACCCAGATGGTTTTTAACGCACAGATCCTAAAGACAAGCCGACAATGGAAAAATAACATCAGTCCAGGTAGTAAAAAGATCGTTTATTGTTTCATTTGTGAGTTATTCGTCTTATGGGGGTGATTCATTTTTAAAAGCCCTGAATAAATGAGCACTTGTGCTTTCCTCTGGGTCTACTTTCCATAAGAATTAAAATTCTGCTGGTGACTGGTTATCACTGTTTTCACGTTACGATATAGTTTATTGGTCTAACATTATTAATAACTCTTAATAGTTAGAATTATTTATTAATGAAAACGTATCATGTAATCACCAGCTTCTGACAAAATGCCATGATATGATATATGATATGATACTATAGTTATTGTAACCTATGGACATGGTGTTTGAAAGATATGAAATTGGAGGAAAAATGTAAATATTTTTTGGTTCTCTTGCAAAGTGCCTTGCGTTCTTATGATAACTTTGCGTTTGCTTGCAGAAGCATTGAAATAAAATTTTTCCTTCCACATATTATTTCCATCACCAGTTTTGTGAGCGAACGCAAAGTTTCTCAGGGGAATGTATACATTTTGCTTTTGGCTCCATCACTGCCATTACAAAGGAATGAAAATAAAGACTTTTTACACTGTTTTAAACAAATCCTGTATTCATATTTTATGCGCTGTAAAACATTCGGCCTATTTCAACTTAAAAACCTAAGTTCAGTTGCTGCCTTAAATGTTTAAATTTATTTAATTTGGGTTTACAAGTAATTTCAATTTAAATTATATTAAACTGACTTAAAAAAATAAGTTGAATCTCATAAAACCTAAAAAATTATGTTGAAGTTGGTTAAAATATTTTGATGAATTAAAGTAATATAAAAACATGTTACCATAACTTATTGATTACATAATTTTTTACAGTGTGACTTTAGAGAGGTAACAATAACTGGACAACTAAATGGTATTTTAAATGATGTATTCATTGTTTTTGTATCAATGTGCTTCAGTTTCCATACAGACTGTGCATTAGTGGAAGGAATTTGACAGTGTAGGTTTCTTTGTTACGCCAGTAGGTGGCGACAATATCTTTATGACTCATTGGATCATTCATTCAACCGATTCGTTCAAAACAGGAACGAAACAACTCAAGTGTTTGTTCTGAGACTCCCCAGCTACCACACGACATGCCAATTACGTGTGACTGTTATGTTTCAGCTTTGGCTCCGTTTGGAAATAATTTGAAATATTGTTTCTAAAAAGTAAGTTACTCAATACTGAACTGCTGTAGCTATAAAAGCGATGTTGCAATCGGGCCACCGTCAAAGGTAATCACAACAGCACTCTTGCTTTGTGATGTTTCTTATATAATAATAACTGTAAAAATCATGCATATTGTATGTTTTTAGGTGTGCAAGGCAACAGAATAATCTCTTTGTTATTGTGCATTGCGTTTCTCTGCAACAGTCGTTTTTTTTTTATGTAGAAGTAGCTGTGTATGATTCTCAGCTTTGTTGAGTTGACAATCAACCCCACTGAACCCTGCTGAGAAAACATAATCAGCCATAAGCACTTAAGTCCCCTACAGGCCTCCATACACCAGCACTCCCTGCTGTGTCAACAGCCCCAGTCATCACTAAACTGCTTTCATACAGCTCCACTAACCAGCAGACTCACTCTCTATCACCAGTGTCTAACCGCACTACAGCTTCACTAAGCCAA